GGGTTATTAATTTTCTTGCACGAGTTATTGCTGTACGGGAAGTTCCAGCAATTTGCCTTAAGGCACGATGCCATGCACCACTAGTTTTAAACCATATCTATCAATAAATCGTAATGTAAATTTCGTAAATTGTTAGCGTATCTAACAAATCAATTGCACCATCAAATTCAGCACGAGTGTTGAACTTTCTTAACAAACTTCAACGGAAAAATGTGGTGAAGACTTGCTTGAACAAGTGAATACGGACCGAATCATCATAAAAGCTGATCAAATGTTGGTATATGAATTTGACATGCAACCCAGTCGGAATCTGAATGGTGGTGTACAGGTGAGCCGAAACCAAGACTTTGACTTTTGTTTTTGACACGTTAAAGTCTGTCAAAAGTTGAAGTCATGTTGCTGATTTTGTCTAATTGTGGTGGTGTTGTGCGCCCGGAAATTATTCCACATGGCAAATTAAAAATATTGTTTCGAAGTTATGCATATTTTGAAGAGATTGTATATAGAAAACATCTTAATTTATGACTAATGAATTTTGTGAACAAAATTTCGCGAAATTTAACGGCACCACTACCGTATTCACCAGACCTATCACCTTGTAAATTATTTCTTTTCGTAAAACTGAATCGATAGATACCATTAAGAAAAATTGCCAAAGGTATTGAAGACTATTCATCTGAAGGCTTTTAAAAGGAAATGTTTGCATGTGTTCAATACTTCGAAAAAGGTCTATTTTATAGGCAAAAAAATAAATTTAAATATTTTTAGTTTTAAAAGTCATCTGTTAAAGTAAGCAAGTAGTCTGGTAAAGCAAGACAAATTGCTAGAACTTTCCGTACCTTAATTTAAAATTTCTAAATGCTTTAAAAATTTTTGATAATATTTAAAAAAAAAATTAAGGATTTTTGAAAATTTTGAATTTTTTTAAAATATTTGTAAATTTAACGCTTTGCGTTGCTCTTTTAAAGATAAAATATCGTTGCAAATTATACGTATATGTAATGATTATACAACATATACAGGTAACCCCCATACAACATGGTAGTTACGTTCCAGAAAACTAGCGTGTTATGCGAATCCGTGTTATAAGGGACAAAGAACTAGTACAAAAAGAAGGGTTACGTTCCAACAATTCAAAAAACATGGTACAAATGATGATTAAATTAAATTTAAAAAAAATAATAATTGTTACGTTTATTCATTTTTTAAGAAGTAATATACATTACTTGAATTATATGATTTTTTTCGTTATAATTGACATTAAGTGCTATCCAACATGATCCTTTTTTTGCAAGATATCCTCATCCTCTGAGTAGTTTTCTATACTACCTTTCAGATCCATGCATTATTTTTGCAAAAAAAAAAAAAAATCTGCGATTACTTGCTTTTAGCAAAAAATTTTTATGCTCATTTTATTTAAAGAATTGCTTAAGAATTATTTAATATATTGTTCGGATAATCCAATTTTTTTTGATAGAATTCTATATATATATATATATATATATATATATATATATATATGTATATATTTATATATCAAATTAGTGATACGTCGATTTTACTAATTTTAGTAGTTTAATTATATAAAGTTTGCTTTTCATAGGTTTTACTATATTTCTTATTTTATTAAAACTTTCCTCAATTTTTAAACCGTGTTATGCGATTCCAAAAGTACCGTGTTATGAGGGTGATGGTCTCTTAAACCGTATTAGAGGTTTTTTTGCGACTCTTAAAAAATTATATTTGCTGGTGCAATTCATTTGTCCAATATCGAGAAAATGGATTATTCAATATATATATATATATATATATATATATATATATATATATATATATTTTATTTGTATTTGAAATGATGTACAGTTGTTTCAATGATGCTGACGAAAACGCACAAATAATCCGATAAAATTAACCACATCAAAGTAACGCATTTTTTATTAAGGTTATAATAATATACATAACTTTTCTCATTGGCGACGTTTGTCAGTGCGTATGGCTTGATATTATGGCAAACCTAATTATCTTCTTTGTGGATTTCGTAGCCTCTGAATGAGACTTTCGCCATAATTCCAAACCCTGTTGCTATAATTCAGTTTTACTAATCATAGTCAGATAGTTGTTTGTTTGATATGTGTTATTTGTTGTGACATGAATGGTTTTGTTTTCACGATATAATTGCTCAAAGTCAAATTGTGGACTTTCGTGGCCCGCCCTACCCTATATATAAATATATATATATATATATATATATATATATATATACAGTGCTGGATTTACAGTAGGGGCAATCGGGGCTACTGCCCAGGGCGGCAAATTTTTGGGGGCGGCAAAATTTGGATAGTGAGGAAAAAATTCTATACAATATAATAATCAACTTTTTTTTAACAACATTTGTTATTTCAAGAAATATAATTAACAAACCATAATACGATTGCAATGCAAAATTTGGGTTGAAATAACCAATAACTAACATTTATTATTTTGCCTTGCTTCCCTCTTCGAACGTAAATTATCAAATTGGTTAATAAGTTATCATATTTGGCAATTTGGCTAATATAAAGATCCGTAAACGAGCTGAAAGTTTAAGAAAAATATGTTTTCCAGTTCTCGAGCCCTCTTAAAATGACGAATTTGTGCACTTCCAAGCTTATAGCGTCGAAAAAAAATTAAACTAGTTACGCATTGTGCCTTAAGACAAATTCCTGAAACATCCCGTACTAAAAATTACATTTTATAAAGAGCTTTAAAATTTTTTGAAAATGAAAAAAACACTTTTAAAACACATTTTTTGTATTTTGAAATTTTTTGAAAATTATGAACTTTTTGCAAAGCAATCGCGCTGCGTGGCTGTTTCAGAGAAGAAATATCGAAACTCAATTACCATTTTCCGTAATTGTCTGTGCCAAAAGCTGAACAGCACATCTCCCCATTAATACAAATCTAATATTTTTTAATTATTCAAGTCGATTCCGAGAACACGGATCAACCGATTTAAATGATTCAATTCCTATTGATAAGGAGACGTGCTGATTAGTTATTGGCCAAGGCAGGTCCAACTGTTTTGAAGATACGGGCCAAAATGCCAAAAATGATAATTCAGTTTTTGAGGAAAAAAGCGTCCAATATCATTCAAAAAAATTTACAGAATAAATAACTGCTTAAATTTGTGGGGGGCAGGTTTAGCGGTTTCGATGATCCAATAAAAAAATTTTAAAAAGAAACATTTGGCGGACAAAAGTGCTCATAAGACATATGCACATTAAATTATCAGATATTTTAAAGATATTATAATAATAAGTATAAATTTTGTTTACATTTATATGCGTTCTGTAAAATTATATCCGTTAGGCTGCGACGCGGCGCTTACGCGCTTCTATATTTTGTCCCTACGCAGCAGAAGCAGCGCGATTGCTTTAAAAAAAAGTTCGAAAGTTCGTAAAATTTCAGGAATGGGGCGGCATTTTTGTCAGTGCCCCGGGGCGCCAAATTTCTAAATCCGGCCCTATATATATATATATATATATATATATGTGTGTGTGTATATGTGTATATATGTATATATATGTGTATATATATATTTTAGTATGTTATGTATATTTGTATATTGAAAGCGGTTAGTATATAGTATAAGAATGGCTCGAATGTCCGCTTCAGCTACGCATTTACGCTTGACAAGCGATTCGAACGAGTATGAATAAAGTCGAGAGAGCCGTACATACATAATTCATATTTTATTTATGAACGGTCATTAAGCCGCTGAACGCGTTTAAGGGTAAATATCTGTTCGATGCGAGATCGCCTATCAGCGGGGCCATTTATCATTTTGCGACGCCGGGCTCCTCTTTACGCTAGCCAGGAGCGGATTCAGGCACTTAATTATAATAGACATATCCATATCGAGACGCTTAATTATAATAATCTATGATTGGACGTTTTATTGACAGCGAGACCTTATACGATTATACATGGTGATTTTGATGAGCTTTGGCTTTAGATCGAATCTGATAAAAGTCAATGAGAAAAGAATGCAATCAACACATAATTTAAAAAATATGCATTGCAAACTTGAATAGAACGTTTCCAGATTTTTAAGAAAAAGAGCATAGTCAGGTAAGGTGTGACGGTACACAAAGGTCCAATTTAACTTTGGGCAATTATATTGTGAGAATTATATCACAACAAATATCACATATCAAACGAAAAATTATCTGACTATGTTGAGTAAAGCTACCAGCTCTTTATCATTATAGAAATGTGTTTTTTTACTGTTTTTAAAAAAAAATTGTAACCTGGCCAGGAGGCGAACGTGTTCAATGTCTGATTTATAATTTTGAAAGAATTTTACGGTAGACCTTTTTACCCGCGGACCGGTAAACCCCGCTCTACTCTAATGCAGCAGCTTGTGTTTATTTCTAAAAAAATCTTCTTTAAACTACCTTTCTTTTGATAATAGAGAGTTATTGGAATGTTCAACAAGTAATTTCTTTTAACCCTGCAGTTTGGCAGTAAGCAAGGGTGCAACCAGTGTATACAGTTAATGTTAGTAAATTAAATTTATCGAACTGTTAATAACCAATATGCATCAACCAAAAAAATGATTGTTTCGGCATCAATTGAATCATATCGTGATGATCTGAAACTTGATATCATATATGATAGTTACATTTTTCAAATTGTTTTCATCTTTTTTGAATAGCTGTGTTAATTTATCTATGATAGCATTGTTACCTTACCTACACAAAATATTTAAGTTGTGACATAAATGGTACACATATTAATACGCTTAGCTTAAAACTATTGCAAAGAATATGTCTTTTTACACACAATCCTTTCATTACATTTCCTAACATACATTTATTATGCAGATGCAAAAAAATCAATTAAATCTCCTCTCTGAAAATAAAAAAATAACTTTAAATAATATTTGTAAGAAACATTAAAACTAAAATATTGATTGCAAATATACAGGTATTTTAATTTTATATTTCATCTTTTTATAGAAAATGAAAATGTGCAGGAGGGAATGGTTGGCGCTGCATTTCGTTTTTCTGGCGGTTCATTCAGTTACATGTGCTCCTTTGCCGAATGAGGTTTGTATTGTATTTATATTAATTATATATAATTTAAATTAAGTATTATAGTTAACTATGTGTTCAAGTAATGTTTTAATTTTATAATCTATTTGAAATAATTATATTGTTTAATATCTAATTCCATATTTAAAATATTCAAGTGACGATTTTAATAGATAATTACAAACAACCTATTTGGGTTATCAGTATCAAAAACATGATTTTCAACTATTTACACATTTTTGAAATTAGTTTTGCTAAAATTGCAGACCGTTAGCTATAAAGAAACAGCTAGACTGATAATCATGGAATACTAACAAATGCAAGTCATAGTTTTTTTTTTATTTATATATTATTTTCATATCTGCCAGACAGGAAGTATCTGGTATGAGAGATTATGAAACAATTTTCTTATTTTATATATAGTTAAATTTTAACAACAATTTAAACGGCTTTCCTGTGAAAAGTTAATAAATATTATATTATAAATTTAAATTATTTTATTTCAGCGTACAAATGACGACCCTGCTACCTCAAACTCTAATAGCAGGAAAGCAAAATCTCTGTTCTTCGATTTCCCTTTAGCTTCATATCGCACGAATAATGAATATGAAGAATCCCCCTTAGATTACGATGCATTACTGATGTCTTCACATCAGCAAGTGGATGACATCGATGATCCAGAAGATCTATCCAGGAGTGCTCCGTCCAGAAAACGATATCAGAACAATGGAAATTTTCCGAATAGTCCTATCTACTACATCAGACTTCCTGCAACTCCATATATGTTTGTTCCCGGTTTAGGATATGTTTCTAATCCACCCACGATGAATCAGTTGGGAGCAGGTGCGTTACCTCCACCACCAGACCCGTTCATTAACTTACCTGTCAACTTTATGTCAAACGGAAAACCAACTAATATTTACCAATGGCCAGATCCATTTGTCCCAACAGCCAATAGACCATTCCAACAGCAGCATCAGCCGCAGTTCCAGATTCAAAAATATCAACAACAGAACGGATTTTCTCAATTCCAAGGTAAAAAATGAAACCTTTATGATTATAAATAAGTGATTCTCATTTGATTGTTCAACGTTATTGACAGATTTTTGACTATTACTTTTTATTATAACTTGTTAGCAATAAAAATAAATAATATGTTTATTATTAAATCATGCAAATTAAGTTTGTATAAATGCAGAAATAATTTAATCATACCAAATATAATTAAGAGAAGCTATCAATCATATTATGAGATAAAGAATGAAAGACGTATCGCACCCCCGCAAGAAAAGTGACTTAACTCAAACATTTTCAGAAAACACTTTATGTGCGCATTTTATACCAATTAGAATATAATCTTGAGTCCTAAAAATTGGCATGAGTTAAATTTTTAATTAAATAAAAATATAGTCAAACGACATTAGTCAAAATATGGGCGAGTTTTGAGATTTCTTTATAGTATGAACTATAAATTGCACTAATCTTTTACTAACCTTTTTTATTTAAACTCATCACAAAGTACTAATATTGCTAGAGGGGCTAAAGTATATAATAAGAACTTTATTGTAAAGTTATCCATTCTAATTATTTTGTTCAAAATAGTTCCATTAGGATTTGGAATAACTTTTTGTGCAATTTGTCGTTCATGTTCAAATACTATCATCATAACGGACATAAATCGCAATCATAAAATGTCATTTTAGATTAAATAGAATCATTCTAGTGTCCATGATATTAAGTTAAGACGCAATATCATTTGACAAACAGTTGTTTTAGACATACGTATCTCTTCAATCCTAACAAATGATACTATAAACCTGGAAAGAATGTGACTCAAATAAAACGCATGATTTATTTGTTTTAGAAAGCACTTAATTGATATATTTTTATATTGTTAATTTTTTAGCTCCATCTTACCAACAAAATGCAATTCCTCAGCCGATCAAGAAAACGCCCAAACCATCCAATAGCGACTCCAAAGTGACGCACCTGAAGGGTCCTTTCCCGTTCAACGGTCGTCCCACGGACATCATTGTTTTAAGGGATTCCTACAACGCTCTCTACTCGGACGCCCTTACCAACTTCTACCCTTAATTTTCTTTCAAATTTAATTTTGAACGTTCTAATAGTGATAATAATTTAAATTGCGTCAATGGGTTGCATCGTGTCAATTGTGGGTGCATATTGTGTTTATGAAGGTTCTACTGCCGCAGTTTTATGAAGTAATTTCAACATATCCAGCATTATCCAGAATCGAAATATCTGACAAAAATATAATCTATATATTTTTGTCAATATAATAATTTTATATGATTATATTTGTTTTTTACCAATCGTTCTTAAAAATTTAGTTCTACAATTGTATAGTTGTACCAAAATTATATAGTTGTAACCAAATGTCAATTTTCTGAATTTACAAATTGTTTGCATAATTTTAATTTTATTACATTATTGAATATATGTCTGTACCTTTGAATGTATGTATTAATTTCATTTATTTCATAGTAGCATTAAAACCGACTTAGAGGTCTAATCATACCGAATATACAATTTAGAATTTAATTGTGAATATACAAAATTTGTTTTCAAATGATTGTATATACCAGCCACATTTGTAATATTAATATTTTGCCAGCCGTGTTTATTATGCATAATTAACTTTATTTTCTTCTATAAAATACTTAAAGATAATTATTATTTGGATTTTTCATGTATTTAGTTTTAATATTATTTTTTGAATTTCATAGATATAAGTACGAAGAATTAGGCCAGCAATTTAATAATATTACATAGACAATAGATTTGCTGAAATTCAATAACTAATAAATGCTAATAATAATTTGTAAAAAAAACTTTACTATCGTACTTATTTTACATTCTTATAAATGACGAAATGTTGCCATCTCGCAACATTTTTAACTATGATTTCAATATTGAAGTCTGAACAAATTATCGAAAGGTATTTGATATTGTATTTTAGTTTCAATCTGAAACTTTTATCAAGAAGTGTTCGAAACAAGATTATGATATAATAAAGTTTTTAACCAATTATTCGTTTTGCGAACTACAATTGATCTACCAAAAATATTCATTTAACTGTAAACTTGATTAATAATTACATAACTTTTAAATAATAACGATACCTATAAGTAGACTAAGTTATAGCATATAATAACATTTACAAAAACATTGACAAAAATTGTTCACTGAATTGCAATAGTGACGAAACAATTACTTAAGAATAAAAAGTCAAACGTAAATATTTTTATACATACAATATAGGATAAGTTATTTTTGTACACAAATTAATCGAAGCGTATGTTATTTATTATTAGATATTTCCACTTTGACTTTTTTGTGACAGTATTAAAATAAAATGCATATTTATTTTTTGGGATTTCCATTTCTGATATTGATTTATTGAAATGCCTAATGTTAGTCCAATGTATTTTTTTCAGAATTTTGTAGAATATTACATTCCTTAGAATTTTAAAAAGTGAACAAGCAGAACTTAGAACTTTATAAAATAAAAGTAACCGTGTAGGTAAATCATTAACTTCACATTGGGTAAGTTATAGCAATCGTTCACAAATCGAAAATGAATATTTTTGCAGATATTTATTTCAAAGGTTTCTGAACATTTTGACATACCTTAGAAAATGTGTTTTTTTGTATAGCGAGGGAATTTCATTTATGCATCCCATTGTCTGGGTATGCCGAACTCAACACCGGCTGGGTATAATACCGACTAAAACGTCTGCTTTGTCTTTGCTTCTGGTCCCCACGGAAACCGCCGTTAGGCATTACTTCGTGGGGGTAGAATCTAGAAAGTTATCATTCTTGCACTGATTTTATACTTATCTTTTAAATGAGCGAAGTCCCATTCGCTCTTTCTCTTTCCGTAGATCGCAGGTCAATAAGCACATCTCTCGCAAATCTTTCTATGGCGTTCCAAGCAACCTCATTTATCAGCATCACCTCTACAGCAGTATCTAAAGTAATTTTTCGGCTCAATATCTCTTCTACATCGTCCCGTAGAGCACTAAATCGCGGGCAAACGACGAACGCGTACTCAGCATCTTCGTTTTCGCCCAAACAATATGGCCGATTCGGCGATCTATAGTGCTTGAAGCGGTGTAGGTAGGCTCGAAAACAACCGTGCCCTGATAGCATTTGCGGAGTGTAATAATATAATAATTCACTTCTCCATGCTTGCGATTTAGCCAGACTTTGATGATTGGAATGAAACAATGCGTCCATCTGCCCCACATCCCACAGTTGCTGCCATCGTTCAATTTATACAGTTTATGTCAATTCAGGACTCAGTTGTTGATGTCTTCGTTGGTAAATCGTTCGTCTTTTCTTTGCTAAGACTAAGATAGGCAGAGTTCCTGAAATGATGCACACTGCTTCCTCCAATGCTGGGCGAAATGCGCAATCAACTCTTAACACTTACAATTTATTGTCAGAAAAATGTATGTGTGTGTATGTATGTATGTGTGGATACAATTTTTTAACTTCCCGTAAGGTAAGTTATAGTAATCGCAAAAAAATCGAAAATGAAAATTTTTATACATCTTTACGTTTCAGAGGTTTCTGAATATTTTGGCATACCTTAGAAAAAATTGATGTATGTGTGTGTATGTGTGTGTGTGTGTGTGTGTGTGTGTGTGCGTAGTATGTATGTGTGTGCGGATACAAATTTTCGTCGACGATTTCGGGAACACGGATGAAGCAATTTGAATAATTCAAAAAACATTCGATCCGTATTGATAAGGAGACGTGCTGATTAGTTTTTGGCGGAGGTAGGTCTAGCCGTTCCGAAGATATGGGGCAAAAAGTGCCAAAAACGGTACCTCAGTTTTTAATAGAACGGATCGTCCGATTTTAATAATTGAAAAAACATTTTACTTGTATTGACAAGATAAAAATTTGATCAAATTTTTATAAGGGCAGGTTTAGCGGTTTCGGAGATATAACGAAAAAAGTAAAAAAAAATGCCATTTGGCGATCAAAAATGATCATTAGACATATGCACATCAAATTATCAGATATTTTATAGAGAATTTAACAATAAGTATAAATTTTGTTTACATTCCTATGGGTTCCGTACCAATGTTTACCCGTTAGACAGCGACGCGGCGCTTACGCGCTTTATATTTTGTCTCTATGCATTTAAAGCAGTACGATTGCTTTGAAAAAAAGTTCAGATCTTCCAACATATGTCAAAATAAAGAAAACATTTTTTTTCAAAAAAAAAGATTAAAAAAAAAAATTTTAAATATATTTTTTTTCAATTTTTTTTTTTAAAAAAAAAGTAATTTTTTGTCAAATTTATTGTTTCTCAAAAATCTTATTTTTTCGAAGTAATTTTTTTTCAAAAATGTTAATCGTTTTTAAAAAAAAAAATAATTTTTGGTACGGGAAGTTCCAGCAATTTGCCTTAAGGCACGATGCCCTAATTGCCTTAAGACAGATTTCCACTTACAGCTAGTTCTTAACGTTTTCGCGAGCACACATCAATCAATTTGAATTATTCAAAAACATTTGATTTCTATTGATAGGGAAACGTGCTGATTAGTTTTTCTTGCAAAGGCAGTTCGAACCGTTTCTGAGATACGGAGTAATAAGTGCAAAAAATAGCAGTTATCAAGAGAACGGATGATCTAATTCAAAAAAAATTTTGCCTGTGTAGACAGTGTGAAGAAATAATTAGTTTTTGATGAAAGCATTTTTTTATAATTTTCAAAAAAATGTTTAAATATCTGATATTATTCGGTTTTCAATTTTAATTCAGAATAAAAGCATTTCAGATTTCTGGAATATTTCGTTATGGTACGGGAAGTTCCAGCGATTTTCCTTAAACGATGCCATGCACCACTAGTTATTTTTGTAATATATTATGTTTACTTATCTATGCACTATTGTTAAAATATTTATAAAAAAAAACATACTTATAGCAATAAAGAAACATTTCGACATTCCAAGCTCAGACCCACAAGTAGTATACTGTCATTCAAGAACACCAACAGAGGGCCCAAGGATCAAATGCCACATTTCTGTCAAAAGATATTCAAAAGTCAAAAGATACAGAAAAAGAGGTCGAAAATATAAACTATGTATTCATAATGAATACCCTAGACAATATAATAATGATGAATACATCGTATTCTGATATTGTCTAGGGTTATTATTAACATTATTTTCTATGGGCAACTTCGAATTCAAACGCATACAACAAAAGTGATGGATGTTAAATATGTGGATAATATATTGAAAAGTTGTACACAATATTCATATCTTTACAATACATTTATGTTAAAAGTTTAATAAGCTGCTGCATAAGATCCTTTTATTAAGATAAGATTGAGGAATTCGTGCTTGTTTTAGATAATTAGATACCTCGTCTTACTTTTAATGTTGTTGAGCTGTATCGATAATTCTAGTGGCAGTGTTATTTATTATAGCATTTGTATAAAAAACTATCTACGTTTATACCATTATGAAATGTTTTCATTAGATCATTGTTATCTTTTAACAATTTGTGATTATTTATGAGGTCTACATTCCTATCGAAGATGAGCATATTCATATAACTTATGGCTGCTTATGCATATCAGTCGATGCAAGAAGGCTACTGTGAGAACAATTGAATATTTAGCAGGTGATATTAGTAATGTGTCAAGAACTTCCTAAATATAACACCTCATATCATATTGAAGTCTATTAAATTATATGTAAAAGTAGATTTCTTGGTTTTAAATCACAATATTTACAATCGGCTACTTAATGCTTATATGATTTAGGATTACATACGCTATACACATACTCTATTAAGGTCATTCATTTATCATTTAAGTTTTCATTGGATGTATTTCATTGGATTTTGAATCGGTTTCAAGGAATTATTCACTTGTTTAATGTTTATTTTTTTCTCTGAATTTTAACAGCAATCAGAACTTACTTCCTATGAGCTCTTGTGCTCAATCTTTTCTTTCATGCTCTATTCAACTAACGATTAACTTATCTACATTTGATTATTCTACTGTTAAAATTAATCTAATATTGATGCAACAATGTCCGGAAAGGGCTGTTTTCTCTTGGAAACATATTTATTATTGACTGAACATGTCAAAAATTTGATTTCATTTCAAGATCCATAAATCAAATGACACTATATTGCAAAATGTTCTGAACTTAAATTCCATTGATAAGATTTGATTAGGATTGCAAATTTTTGGCTACATGATTATTGATAAAGTGTATTGTAAGATGTTGAGCAGAAATGCGTTTTGTTTTAACATATGATTCATCATATGAAGTTATTGGATTATTATATTTGAATGCTTAGTGCATATATTTGTAAAAATATATTTGTTGTAAAAATATGCTTATATTTGTAATATGTTTATGATTATGCAAACATACAAATCTTTAAATTCCTTTAATAATGTAATTTTAAATTTGTTACTTGCAAATTGTATGTGGTTTTACAAGATTTGAAAGTAAAAGAAAAAAACTGTGTTTGTAAGCAGATGTATGAAAATTTAAAAGCGAACATAGGGTTTATATAATTATAGTGGAGTTTGTTTAATATCATTATATACATACATATATATATATATATATATATATATATATATATATATATATATATATATGAGTGAGTTCTTGAGGGCGATACATCAAACAAAGAAAAGCCAAAGATTTATAAAATAATCTTTATTTCCAAACGTTTCGACATTCAATTTAATGTCATCATCAGTGGATATTACGTTGGTTAGTTACATATAGAGAAGTGTACAACAGCACTAGAGATTGGCACTAACATTTATACAACTAACTTGTCAGCACTATGCATTTTTTATATAATTTTTTTGTATGATGTAAACAGAAAAATGATAGTTTTATTGAACAAAAATGTAAGTAGAATTATGTAATTTCTGCCACGACTTCTGTACTTTGCTAGTACCGAGGCATGTATCTATATGTAACTAACCAACGTAATATCCACTGATGATGACATTAAATTGAATGTCGAAACGTTTGGAAATAAAGATTATTTTATAAATCTTTGGCTTTTCTTTGTTTGATGTATCGCCCTCAAGAACTCACTCATATATTTCAACATCAAAATTAACTACTAAATCATATATATATATATATATATATATATATATATATATATATATATATATATATATATATATAGTGGTACCAGGACTTAATTAATAATGACTAAATTATCATTAAACTAGTTTTTGTGTTTGAGAAAACCAATCCAATGAGCATTCTTTTTTTTCTTAACTTATTATCATAGTACATATTGCAAATATGAGTTAAACATATCTAATCAAACAATTTTAATCCTCGATCAGTTGCATCTTTTTTGGGGTCATTTTTATCCACAAACTTTTCAACTTTGCCCTGCATTGCATGAACAAATGCACAACATTAATATTAATGAACTGAATATTTTAATTTTAAAATAATTTACTTTAAATATTTGTATGATAGTTAAATCCTTGTTAACTTTTCGTAGGGTAAGTTATTGTAATCGTCCAAAAATCGAAATTGAAAATTTGTACATTTCTTCACGTTTTGAAGGTTTCTGAACATTTTGGCATACCTCAGAAAAAATGGATGTGTGTGTGTATGTATGTATGGATGGATATAGATTTTCGTCCATGTTTTCGGGAGCATTGATAGGGAGATGTGCTGATTGGTTTTTGGCAAAGCCAGATCCAGCCGTTTCGGAGATACGGAGCTTCCTATGTGTGTGTGTGTGCGGATACAAATTTTCGTCGACGATTTTGGGAACACGGATGAAGCGATTTGAATAATTTAAAAAACATCCAATTCGTATTGATAAGGAGACGTGCTGATTAGTTTTTGGCGAAGGCAGGTCTAGCCGTTCCGAAGATATGGGGCAAAAAGTGCCAAAAACGGTAACCCAGTTTTTAAGCGGAACGGAGCGTCCGATTTGAATAATTCAAAAAAAATTTTACTTGTATTAACAAGATGAAGAACTGATCAACTGATTTCACGAAGGCAGCTCTAGCGGTTTCGGAGATCTTGTAAAAAAAGTAAAAAAAAATGCCATTTGGCGGTCAAAAATGATCATTAAACATATGCACATCAAATTATCAGATATTTTATAGAGATTTTAACAATAAGTATAAATTTTGTTTACATTATCCTATGGGTTCCGTACCAATGTTTATCCATTAGACGGCGATGCGGCGCTTATGCGCTTCCTTAGTTCGTCTCTATGCTGTTAAAGCAGTCCGATTGCTTTGAAAAAAAGTTCAGAATTTCTAAAATATGTCAAAATAATGGAAAACTGCAAAAAAGTAATTTTTTATCAAATTTATAGTTTCTCAAAAATCTAAGTTTTTCGAAGTAAATTTTTTTCAACAATGTTAATCTTTTTAAAAAAATAATAATTTTTGGTACGGGAAGTTCCAGCAATTTGCCTTAAGGCACGATGCCATACACCACTAGTTACAAATGATATTAGCACCCTCATAAGTTTACGTTATGCCTCCCACTCGCACGTATATCGAATTTTGCTCGTCTGACGAAGCGAACGGGCCCCTTCTTTGGCGGCTCGTATCTCGAAAAACTCTTAGGACTAGTCGCTCGTAAGTCGGGTATTAAAAATATTATTTTACCTTGGACATAAACCTCGTTTGGTCTAAGCCTTTCCTCGCTAGATATCGCCAAACGTTTCTCCGTCTGACACAAGAGCCGTGAGGATTGGTATTGTTTGTTTGATTAATATGGCAGCATTGTGTACGTATCACCCGTGATGGTGTGTTTTGTGTTTTAATTGTTACATGCTAGTTTTTTAAATAATGTGATGTATCATGTCCTATCAGTTATGAAAACTCAATTAAATATTGTTTTATTATCGTGCACGTGATCGAATTGAGATCCTTAATTCACAGCAAAATGTCTTCCAAAAGGTGAGATCAATACAATTTTGTCTTTTTGTTTAAATAGACCCATAATGAAAATATTCACAGATTATCAGTTAAGTTTGATAACAGGCTGTTGATATTGATTATGACTCTTATTTATAATGCAGTGTCTAGGAAGATAAATGTAAAAACAACCAAAAAAATATTAGTGAACTCATAACCTCACTTCTGTCGGATCATCATGAATTACTTATATTTCAGTTTGCATTTGCTGTAAACGTTGAATATAATTTGAATATTTCATTCTTTATAAACACTATTGTCGTACAATGCAAATTTTTAATGTTATAAGTTCTGAATGTTGATGTCATGCATAATTCTGAGCTAATAAACTTTTAAGTTCTAAATATGGATCAAGCACTTCATGAATTGTAAATAAATGATCCATTCAATTTGTTGATGAATTAAGCATATGTGTAGTATTTTTGTTTTGCGCGCGGTAAAGCCACGTGAAAAACGTATTGCATATATTGTATAAATAATTCCATTTATAGAAACAGTAATTCAATCATTTTGTATTGCTGTGAGAGTGTAATGCTTTATTATTTTTATATATTACATTTTTATATTTATAACTATATAATTATAACACAGTTTGTTCTTTTCCTCTGGGAACTAGTTTTGCAAAGCTTCTTGTAAGAACAGCTCTTCTTACTAATCATCTATATTAATCTATTTTGTAGATATATCAATTATATAGATATTTATATTATTTCCTTTATTTTAGATTTTTTAAAGTTGAAAACCAAATTTTTTAAACTTAATTTTTTATTTATATTATTCTGCTATATATCTAGGGGTGATATTGGATGTCACCCCCTAAAAATGAAGAAAGGAACAAGGGAATCTTTTAGTTAAGAAAAGTTAAATAACAATAGTTTTCCAGATAAACTTGAACAATAACACACATACACACAGGCATATATATATATATATATATATATATATATATATATTCTTGAATGTTGATTTTCAACCAATCGTCGAATTAAAAGAAAACAATAAATATAAAATGTTTATTCATACGTTTCGACAACGTCGTGTGTCGTCATTCAGCAATTTTTTGATGTTTTACAGTATCACACCAGGAAAAATAATAACACAAATTTAAAAAACATAGAAAATAAACAATAATAAAATAACAATTTGTTTTAAATTTAAACTAAAGATTTATGTAGTGTGAAAATTTAAAACAAAATTGTTATTTTATTCTTGTTTATTTTCTATATGTATATACATTATTATTATTATTTTGTTTCATCTGGTTTTCAAAAGCAGCCCTAACTGATGTCAAATAGAGCGGGGCTTGAAGGTCCGCGTTTATAAAGCTTCACTTCCGATATCTCAAAAACAAGTAAAATTAAGGTTTTTAACAACAATATTTGAAAGTAGGGGACAAACGATATATAACCAGTCATAGCCTTGATTTTTACGACGTTGCTATCGGTAGAAAAACGGCAATGTTTGAAAATCTATAACAAATGTATTTTCTTTTGTTGCTAGTTTTTTTGGATTGTGAGCACTGTTGTTCAGTTTACGAAACCATAATATAATTTTTAAGTATGCGTTATTTAATTGCTTCATAAGATGTACTGTTAATTTTAAGTTATTTTCAACAGTTTTTTTTATATAACCTCTATAAAGTTGTAACCATAATGCTTACAACTGGCTGGCGTAAAAAAGACCAACTGAACCTTTACCCCTGGCAAAGGGGTAAAAAATAAAAAAGTAGCTAAATTACAAAAGTAAATTAAGTTAAAAATAGCAATATTAAAAAAATAGTTATTCTAACTTTGCTCATGAATATTTCTGATGAAAATATCTCTGTGAAAAATTCACCCATGAAATTTATATTTTGCATTGGTTGAATAATGCAGCTATTTTTTTATAAAATCCCTTTAAATTAACAATAAGACATTGGGTTTGTTTACCCCCTGACCGTCTCATTTTACCCCGTCTATGGGGTTAAAAGGACTAGGTGACAAATTTTGGAAAAATAGCAATAAACACATTCTGTACAATGATGAATTACAAAAACAGTCAGATAGTTGTTCATTTGATATTGTGTTATTTGTTGTGATATAGTTGGTTTGGTGTTCACAATATAATTGATCAAAGGCAAATTGGACCTTTGTGCCTCGCCCTACCCTATATTAAATGTACAGTAGTACCTCATTTATCCGGACTTCAGTTATACGGATTTGCGATTATTCGGACTATCAACCGCGACCAATTTATATGTATGTACATTAGGGTGGTCCTTAAAAAGGACATTTTCGAATTTCTTCGCTCTCAAGGGCCACAATGCTTTCAAATGAATAAAAAATGAATCTCTAATAGTATTAGCTCTTAATATAAACATTTAGATAGAGCGCACGCCAATTGAAAGTTTCTTATATTTATTATTAACATACGTCATTAAGTAATTCTTGTGCCATCTGTATAGTATTTGTGAACTTAACCTCTAATTAAATCCTATTCATCATGAAATCAAGATTAATTTTGCAGCAAAATATTTATTTAATTGGTGATGTTGAAATTTAAATTATTATCTTGATTATATGATGAATAAATATTATAGAACAGCCCACATGGATTTAATTAGAGGTTATGTGGTTTTTAAATATTTTTATGTGTCATAATATTTGAGTTCACAAATACTATACAGATGGCGCAAGAATTTGCTTAATGACGTATGTTAATAACAAATATAAGAAACTTTCAATTGGCGTGCGCTTTATCCAAATGTTTATAGAGCTAATACTATTAGAGATTCATTTTGTATTCATTTGGAAGCATTGGCGCCCTTGGGAGCGAAGAAATTCAAAAATGTCCTTGTTAAGGACCACCCTACAATTCGAATTTTTGCATGATTAATGTTGCAGATTAGTATATGTACGTAATGTAATGTAAGAAAATATATATGTACATACATAAGAAAGTTTCAAATTCTTAATAAACATTATTTTCATTGATATCTATGTATGTAATGTTTTCTTTTTAATTAATACACAACATTATTCTTCATACATTTGATTATCCGGATTTTCGATTATTCGAATGCCTATCGATAACAATTAGTCCGGTTAATCGAGGTTCTACTGTAATTATTGTTGAAGTTAGGGATTAGTCTATTAGAAGTTAGTGATAGTTTTCAGTATATTTTTAATATGAATTCTCCAATATTATATGCTCAAAAGTTGAAATTCGATAATACATACATTCAATATACCTTTAAAATTCTTACTTACTTATTCAAAAATTATGTGCCTAATAAAAAATATATTTTATCATGTTTGTATATTTTTTAACTGCCTCGTCAAATAGACGGTCAAGTATAACAGTCTTTAAAGTTTAATGGTAATAGCACGTTGAAATTCTTATTTTGCGTCATACGAATTTGTGAAATAGGTGTTAATTAAAAATTAATGTGCTCCATTAATTAATGCACAATGAGATGATGCACATAATAATGTGTCTCCAATAATTGTGGGTCTATTTCGGTATCGGTTTCTGTCATAGTCTAAATTGTACCTCCTGCGTTGTCAGATTTAGTCCTGCACTTACATCCGGATACAGTCTTTACTATAGTATGTTAGTTCAAATTTTAAATAACATTATGTAAGTGGCATTTTGCCTTAAGGTAAGATGCATTAATTTTCATGAGAATCGATTCAACTACTTTTAAAATTGTGATAATGCAATTTTGAATTTTGATGCGACCTATTATTGCAAACTTCAATGAATTTTTATAATCAAACCAGTTTTCGTAGGCCTATAATATTTTAGTACGTTAGTTAAGCCTATGAACTTTAACATCATAAAGAGATTCATCAGAATCGTCAAAAACAAAAATTAATTACAAAGAAACATCCCAGTCTATTTTACCAATTTTACTAATCAGCAGGAATGATATCATTCAAACACTTCTAGAATTTTCAAAATTGGCTCAGGATTTTTGGCTAAAACGAAACTTGGATGAACGAAAATTTTTGTACCTTTTTGCTAATTCTAAAGAAACTGACCGATCAAATTGATTATTGATATAAAGTGTTTTATAAGATGTAGTAATGTTTGAACGCAATGCGTTTACTACATCATATGAAGTTATTGGATTATATTTGAATGCACCCACTATCGTTAACTTTTATGAATTTTTATTATTAAACCAATTTTTGTAGGCCCATAATATTTTAGGACGTTCGTTAAGACTATGAACTTTATCATCATAAAGAGATTCCAAAATTGTCAAAAAGCTAATCAGTAAGGATCCCGACTGATATCTTTCGGACAGTTATAGAATTTTGAAGATTGGTTTAGGATTTTTGGCTAAAACGTAGACGAAAATTTTTATACTTTTTTGCTAATTTTAAGGAAACGGCTCGACCGATTGCAAAGCTAAATGGAAAACTAATCGACGTCCTATTGAGTTACATCAAATGAAGTTGAATCTGTGCAGGCGTTCTTGAGAAATTGAAGGGTTAAAATTTTGACTCACATCATTTTGGCGTCAAGCAATTCAGAATGACTTAAAAGCTCGCCGAAAAACAAAATTTGGTAAAGCGTATTTCTGAAAATTTTAGAAAGGTATAAACGGTGTACTAACCCCATTTTGGTTTTAAACTTCATATTTTATTAACTGAACTTATGGTATCATTAGGAATTATATCAATTGCTGATTAATAACTTACAGCAGTATATATCCTAGTTCATATAATTGAACGAGTTTATTTTGAATTGAGGTAATAATTTAAATTATATATTTTTTTTTATATCATATAGATTAATATTGTGATCCAATAGAACATTCATTACCATATTGAAATGTGATAATGAAAAAATAAAACTGCAATCTTCATTCATTAAATGAGATTTTATCTATTAAGTAAATAATTAGATCAATTCGTCCAGCGTTTTTGAAATTGAATAAATTCAAGAAGTTCATTGTAAATTAAACTGTAAATTTAAAAACAAAAACCATCTTA